AAATTAAATTATGGCTATAACATTAAATAGCAAATGAAAAGGCAAGAAGCAAAATGGATCTCAAATACCGTCCATTTTAAACAATAAGACACGTCTTCTAATAAGAATCAAGTGAAAGCTGATCCAGTTACTACGGTTCCTAGAAGTTCAAGTACCATGTCATAGGAAAATATGATCCTTGCCAATGAACATAAGAAATGTCAATATATAGCAAAAGACAAATTATGTCAGCTGAATAACAAGATCTGAATAAGCTAGAGAAATGTGTAAAGGAAGTGTCAAAACTAAAAATTGTCATACCTACGGAAGGATCAGATAGCTTGCTCAAAGCAGCAATATGACCATCTGCCAAATCCACCACATGAATGTAATCACGTACCTGAAAATTATAAAAACACATGAAAACAAGCAACCTCCTCACCACATTTTGAAGTCCATGTAATGGCCATACTATGGCACCTTTCAGAAAAAAAAAACCCTGACTTGAGTATAGTATCAGACTTGAGTTAACGCACATCCTATCCCAAAACATAGATAGAAGGTCACTAGTATAAATTGATATTGAAGTTTTTCTAATGTATAGTATAAACTGATAAGCAGCACGAGCACATAGGTAGCGATGAAATACCAATAACTAAATCAAACAAATACATCACTGGGTAAAATTCTAACGCTAAACAAAGTGGCTTACCCCAGTACCGTCCTTGGCTCCATAGTCAGTTCAAAACACTGTTAATGCAGGTCTCCTGCCAACAGCCACTTGTTGAACAAACGGCATGAGATTATTTGGAATTCCACCAGCAGTATGATTTTCCATTCAGAGTCGGACTCGTAAATATCACGGCACATTTCTTCAATAAAAAGCTGGATAAATTAATATAAGGTGAACGAGCGGAAGTCATGAGCAACTCAAAAGGGTGAGGGAAAAAAAATCATCTCGGAGACGGGCTACAAGTTCTAACTAACAAGACCCTTTTTTGAATTCTCTTTTTTTTTCCTATCTAATTTAAGCATCATCTACCTCATTAGATAGGGATTGTTTGAGCCCCATTTTTCTCGAAAAATGCATTTTGAAATAGTGTTATGATGAAAAATGTGTCATTAAAAAGAAGGAAAAATTTTGAATTTGCGTATAATATTATTTTATTGAATAATGTATAGTTGAAATGTTGTCATGTTGAATAATGTAATTTGATGAAAAATGAGACTAGACAAGGGCTTACATTTTTTTCATATTTTTTGTAAATGACATCAAATGAACAGCAGCTCAAGCTTAAGGCGGTTTATGTAATATGCAATCAAGATAGAATTCTCATAAAGATGGATCTAACAATACCTTTGTCCGTCCATAGGTATTCATGTTGAAATTTAATTTTGATCGTGTTAAGAATCGAGAATCACAATACAATTTAATTAATAGAAACGAATTCATACCTACGGAAGTCATTGTGGATATGAAAAGTAATTGTAATAGCAGTCAAGATCATCCCCTTCTTGTTCCTCACAAAAGTATTAGCTATCAATGAAGCAAGCTAATGAAAACATATGGGGAGGAGAGGGGACCTAGCCTTTATATATAGGAAATAATTTGAGCCATCTCATTACGATTAGAATTCTAATTAGGGTTTATTTTCGGCCCACATACTTTAAATTACCACATCAAATTAATTACAATCCGTAAGGTGTAAAAGACCAAATTGATCACTTAATAAATTTGGCCTAAACACAAATATCATTATGAGCCATATATCTAACCCGTAAAATTTTGCAATCTAATGTGAAGCCCACATATGGAATTATTAATTATTCCAACAATTCATAGCGCATCTAGGAAATTCCTCTGTGCATGGTACCACTTTTGGCCAACCATAAACAGTTGCTGATGATGAAAATACAAGCTGAAAGGTTCAGAATTATTGAATCATAAACACCAGAAATGAAACTCCGGAAACAACAGCACAAGAGGCAAGAGTCAAGATAAAAGTACTTTTTTGCATCTGTGGGCAGCCATGACCTCTAGTAGAGAAATTGTATCAATTTGGTTATTGTTATAATATATCAAAGGTTTCTGCACACTTTCTCCAACAGCTTTCAATTCCGCAAAATGAATAACAGCATCAAACCTGGGTTGAGTGAAATTGGCAGCAAAAAATGTGATATAGAGAAAATCATCTCCCATAATCATCAAATCTTTGCCACCCATCTTAAAAATTATCCTCTGAGGTTCAAGCAAATAATCAGAATGATGCCACAGAAACTTACGTTTGAGAAGCAAAAAGCTTGTCAAGTGCTGGCTTATCTCGAAGATCCATCTGCAATCAAATTAAAATCAACAATCAGTAACTGGAAATGAGATTAAAGCATGTAAGGAAACAAAACCCCCTCAATATCCATTTCTCAGATCAAACTCATCAGTCCACGCTAGTAAAATTAACGCAAAAAATGTGAAAAAATCCAAATCTTTGCACACAATACAATTCCACTGGTTAATTATCAAAACAACCAAGAAGAGACAATATATTAAAACAAACTAACTAACGAATACTTATTAAATACCTATCAAGATAAATTGAGGTCTCGTGCCAAAAACCCAATACTCAGAAACAAATTTTGCTAGAAGAAGTACAGGAGGCAAATGACAGAAAAGGACCTGGTGAAAACTGAGGTTGGAGCCATGTTTACCAGCGAGTTCTCGAACTCTGTTGATGGCAATTTCCGAAGAATTGCCCAAATTGTCGACAACCACCGCCTTATACCCATCTAGCAGCAATTGCAGCACTGTGTGACTCCCAATGTACCCTGCTCCCCCAGTTACCAGTACGTTTTGAAGATTGATGGGTAATACATGAAAATGGCCAAAGAGGCTACTTTTCCATTTTAGCCTTGCCAATTCAATTAATAGAAAATACTTAAAATACCTATTATATTTCATACAAATCACTATAATATAAAAAATCTTCCATTTTAGACCTCAAAATCAATCATTACTGGAAGTTTGATAGATTTATTGCTTACATTGATTTATTTGATTTTTGTTCGCTTAAAGTAACATTCCCTAATTTGGTATCAGAGCCATAAAGATCATGAAAATTAAAATAAGAAAAGTAGATAATTATTATAAATTAGAAGAAGAAAGAGGAAGTTATATATTTTTAGAACTCATTCCTAATAAATTAAAAAAAATAACATTAATCATAATCAAATAGTTATCTAAAAGAATAAAAGAACAAATATTAGAAAAATTAATAATATGATCAATAAAAGAT